ATACAAAATAGATTAAACCTAGTACAAACAAGTTTTTCGATCTGTCACAAGTTACTAACTTCAAAAATAATATCCCACACCACCAAACTCAGGATTTATAAGACAATCATCAGACCAGTTCTCCTGTATGGTTCAGAAAATTGGATCTTAAGCAAGAAATCAGAAAGGAAAGCTATTGTATTTGAGAACAAGATTTTGAGGAAAGTGTACGGACCGATTTTTGAGGATGGACAATGGAGATTGAGACATAATTGGGAACTTAGAGAATTATTTAAGGATCCGGATATTGTCGCTGAGGTACGGAGCAGAAGACTGAGATGGGCAGGGCATATTCTAAGAAAAGATGACAACTCCCTATCAAAGAACATCTTGAGGAATAACCCAGAAGGTAGAAGACCCCTTGGAAGACCGAAACTTAGATGGTTCGACCAAGTGGAGAAAGACCTGAGGAAGTTAGGGAGAAGGAAGGAAGATGCAAGAACCAGAGACCTATGGAGGCAGTGTGTTGGGGAGGCCAAGTACCATCTAGGGTACCAGTGGCCACAGCAGTAAGTAAGTAAGTAAGGTTAGAGGGGGGTTTAAGGGGGGAGGGATTTTTTACTCAGGTACATGGGCTGATTAATGGTAGGTTAGTAAGGGCCAGGGTTATGGGGTTATAGGTCAGAGGGGGGCAGCAAAAGTCAAAAGTTCTAATGACCAGTCTTTTTTTTGCTTACTTATTACTGAAATCACCACTCGTACTACAATCAGTATTTAACCTCATCAAAACTGCCTCTACTGTGGTTTCGGTCTGCAACATTGTCTTCATTGAGCCCCACATTTCTCAATCCTTATAACTCTCTGAACCTGGTCCTACCATCATGCTTGTCTTCTGCCTTCAGGACAGTTCCTCATGTATTTTTTATATTGAACTGTTGTCTTTCCTCAAAATGTGTCCAGTCGAATATTACCTCTAGCTTTTAATCCATCCCACAAAATCTGGAACTTGATTTGTATATGTTTTGTATTTCCTATATTAGAGTGAAAGGAATAATTGTTTTGAGTTATTTTTGTTGATAGACTCTTCCGAGGTTTTTTATCCACAAGGTTTTCTGCGGTATCTGTCGTAGAGTAGGGACAAATGATTTATTTACAGTCAATTGAATCTACATCTTTTCATACATCTAAAAGGAGGGGAACTTATAGCTTTCTCAGTGATAGGGGCATTTAATTTTATGTTGTTAAAATTAAAATTTAATATTTAATATTTATATATTTGTTTTACATTTTGTTTATAATCAAACAGGTCCTTAGTACTTCCGTCTTTGACAGGGCTGGGGAAAATATTTTAGGCTAGACAGGGACATGGGAATTTAAAAAATGTAGGTTAGAGGGGGGTTTAAGGAGGGAGGGTTTTTTTGAGTCAGGGACAAGGGCTGAATAATGGTAGGTTAGTCAGGGCCAGGGTTATGGGGTGTAATAGGTCAGAGGGGGGCAGCGAAAGTCGGAAGATCTAATGACCTGTCCTATTTAATTACTTAAAAAAGTGGCCACTGGCTAAAATGGTTTAGAGTTGTTTTTTTTCTGTGTATTGGTTGAAAGAAATTTTTAGAATGTCCATCCAGGGGTATTTAAGAAAGTTATTGTCGAACGAGAGTGAAAGGTGAGGTTGGGTCAATGAATCTTTGCTCATACATCAATCAGGTTGGAAAGTAGGTTCATAGGGTTTTCTAAGGGTTTGTGTAGAGGTGTTTTAGGGCTGTTGGGACGTAGGGGGGGGGGGGGTTTCTAGTCAACTGATATTCTGGAAGAGATAATCATCATGGCTGCATTGTGTGGAGGGTCAAGGAGGTTGAAGACAAGAAAATAAGAGACAGAGTCAAGAAAAACTTTGACAACAGAAGAGGCGTCAAAAAACTTCCACCTTTAGCAGTAGGAGAGAGGATCTGGGTTAAAGATATAAGTGCGAATGGAACCATAAGAACTACATGCAATCTACCTCGATCCTGCATAGTATCATTGAGTAATGGGAATGATGTAAGACGAAGACGAAACAGATGGCATCTCATTCCCCTACCAAGAAAAGAGAATGGAGTCAGAGAAGGGGCTATCCTGAGCACCACAAGAGGTTTGTAAAATTACAAACTCTTAGGCTATAACCTTAATTATTTTTGTAATAAGCCCTAAATGTCCTCTCAATATGATCAGCATTATTCAGGTACGTACAAGTTTATTTCAAGAAGTTGGCTGGATATTGGGTAAACTGTGTTGGTTCAAAGTGCACAACAATAGTTGGGCTAAGTTTGGAATTAGAAATACTATTAATTAAGTTTATATGTAGGATAAGGCAACAATTTTAAAACAAAATAGAGTACTTTTTAATTTAGCTAAAAAATGTAACTATGTAAATTATTTCCTAGTTTTTTTACAAAAACGAATAGACAAAAAGAATTAAATATAGACTGTCAGCTGTGTTGCGGTTACCATAGGTTCTGGTGCACACCGCTGGGAGCGCCATGTGATTACATAGCGCATACACCGTAACTACATGGCGCTCCCAGGGGTGTGCGCCATAACCTATGGTAACCGCAGTACGGCTGACAGTCTTTATTTAATTATTTTTGTCTGTAGTACAATGTAAAAAGCAACAAGGAAGACAACTTTTTCATTTAAAACTAGTGTACCTGTTGCTCGAATTCGAGCAATTGCGAAGCATTACAGGCGTTATTTTAAAACGAATAACAGTCATAATTTCCGATGACTTTATAAGAGTCGACTCAAAGATTATGGAAATACTCAAGATGTACACAGCAGTTAGATATAATCAAAATTTTTTGTAAATATCTTATCTTTTTTCAAAAGCTGACCTTGTGTTTTAGTCTTTTCTACAAATTTTCCCCACTCATAGCCACATTAGGTTGTCTATAATAACGATTATAAACTAAAAAAACAAACATTTTTTTTCTATTGTAATCTCCAAGAAGTGGTAAAAAAGGCAGAAACCAACCCAAACAATAGATATAAGTTAACTCCATAAGAAATAATTACTGTGAGTTACTGTGATATTAGGATTTTCCACTGATTTGGTAATAGAACATTATATTGCAAAACATGGCACGTTTCAGAAGAAAATCGATTTTAAAATCAGAAAAAAAACCATTCCAAATACTTAGTTTAGACAAATTTAGTAAATCACAATTTAAATATTAATAGCTGTTTCATTCAAAAGTAGTGTAAATGTATGCATATGGTCGTAATGTAAACACATCTGAAGAGGGAACTTTAAAGGCCTCTGGGGCAGAGCCCCAAGGGAATTTACCTTGTTTCTCTTTTGATGGCTCATCTACAGACTAAGACTTCTCTTTAGAGACCCCTACCAAGTTTCTACGCCCAGCCTTTCTCTGTAATTAGCTGTGACAAAACCCCGTTTTTCCTCCATAAGAATAACATAGGATGGGAATTTAAAGGCCACTGGGGCAGAGCCCCAAAGGAATTTAGACACATTTTAGCACCTCTGCTTACACCAATTGTGGGTGTTTTCCTAACTTACTGAGATACAATAATGCTTATTCAAACAAAAATTGTAGATTACATATCCTCCAGCCTTATAGTTTTTTCATCCTTATTGAGGAATTGAAAACTATTGTTACAGTATTTTTTTATCAGGTATAAGTAGAGACTGCTGTGTCCTTTAAAACCTACATACCTTAAAACTAAAAATTGTATTTAATTGTAATAGTAAACTTTTACACTGTCATAAAATGATTGAAAATAATATAGCCAACATCAGCTACTCAAAATTAACCCAAATTGAATACAAGCCTAATCAGCCTTAAGGGCTTCATAATTTACAAGAAAGGTGAAATTCTTGCAGTATTTAAAGTCTATGATAGTTTGTAAAATTGCATCCCTCTGTTACTGACATACCTTTTACCTTCTTGTTGAAATGAGTAACTTTTCTGTGTTAAGTCTAGTGAAGTCAATCACAGATTAAATATTACTGGGTCGTACAGCGTAGGGTCAAAGAAAACATGCTAATCTATAAGTATAGATTGTTTATTTTAACTAATACTTAATTATAATACTATTTGCATTGCACATTATGTATGTATTCATTAGGCTACAGTATATCACTAAGACAAAATAGGTATGTTAAGACTCGGGTTTACAAAATGGCAACCTCTAATGCTAGATGTTGTATAAATATTTTGGCAATAACATAAATACAACTAAAATGTCTAATGGAATTGGTCTAGCTTTTTTAATTTACTTCCATTACATTTTCCATCCATCTAATTCAAAATAAATAAAGCTGTTTCCACACCCTAATGTGAGGGCTGTCTGTAGATTAAGGTCTGTATCAAGCTCCTGTCGCAGCCAGCAAGGCTAGAACAAATCTGAGACCAACGCCATGTTGTTTACTTCATACACTACTATTTCAGGCATTTTCCATCCCAATTTACTGTTGTACTTAATAGTCTTAAGAGATGTCCCCTATCATTAGGCAGTGTCTTATTCTTACACTGTAATTCAAGAGCGAAATTCCATTACTTTGAATAGTGTCTCAAACGAGACTGATGAACAACCTTGATAACAACCATGATGCATCCGGCCGACATCATTTCAACCTCCACGAAACTCACTTCGCTCCTTACACGAATTGTTTACATCTTAACACTTTACTCCATGCTTGTAACCGTCAACTGAGGTTGTACATCAATAGTGTTGCTTCCTTAGACCAGTGTTTCCCAACCTTTTTTACTGGTGTACCACTTCACTAGACCAAAAAATGTCACGTACCACCTAGTCGTGAAGTATGAATACCTAGTTAACTATGGAAAAATCTTTAATATTGTGTAAACCTAACTAATCTTTACAACCAAAAGGATGAAATATAAAATTCTGTGTAGTGTTGCAACATTTAATGAATTACAGTAAAATGAACAAGAAACAAGCTCTAGATATGACACATAGGCCTATTGCAACAAAAAATGGAAAAGACAACAGAATACAAAAAAACGTCAATGAGAAGGTTGAGCTTGAATTTTGGAAGCTAGCTTTGGAATGTCTGGTCGAAGATTGCTTAGCCTTAAACGGAGATCATTTTCCACATTTAGAAGTCTGTTTCGATATTTGTTCTTAAGGTACACAAGAGATGAAAAGGCTGTCTCACACAGGTATGAAGTTGAAAATGGAAGCAAAAATTTAACTGCTTTGTCAGCTACTTGTCCGTAATCCACACGCCTTTCGACCCAGAAGTCCACAAGCATCATTCTTGAAAATTGTTGCCGAAGTTCCGAATCACAGTTTAGTTCAAACAACTGTTCTTTTTCTGGTGCAGTCAAGTTGTCTGGTGCCATTTCTATCTCTGCAAACGGGTTTTGGATCCAGGAATATTCATTCAAGTCCTCAGGAAAGTAAAGGTTGTAGCTGTTAATTAAGCTGAGACAATGGTTTTTAATGTCAGCCAGAAATTCAGGACTAAGTTGGATGTCATTTTCGTCAACAAAACTCTCAAGAGTAGGAAACAGTGAAATCTTTTTTTCTTCTGCTTCTTTCGCTCCTTGGTTCAGCTTCTTTTTCATTGCAGATACTTTGTCATTAACTCGAAAAGGGGTGTTGTTATTTCCTTGCAAACTTTGGTTGAGTTCGTTGAGCTTTGAAAATATTTCTGCCAGATACACCAACCTACTCATCCACAGTTCATCTGCGAAGCAGTCCTTAAATTCAAAGTTTTTGTCGGACAAAAATACAAAAACCTCATTGCGTAGCTCAAACAGACGAGTCAAAACCTTTCCTCTCGATAGCCATCTGACCTCGGTGTGTAGCAATAGCTGTCTGTGCAAACTACCCATATCATCACACAGTATTGCAAACAAACGAGAATGTAAAGCACGTGCCTTGATAAAATTTACTGTTTTAACAGCTTGGCTTAAAACCTTCTTTAGGCTCTCAGGGCAATTTTTGCTTACCAAAGCCTCTCGATGCAAACAACAGTGAGTGAATGTTGCTTGGGTGGCTACTTGTTTTACTCTAGCCACAACCCCAGAGTGGCGACCTACCATTGCGGCGGCTCCGTCAGTACAAAGTCCCACGCACTTGTTCCAATCCAGATCATGCTCATTTATAAAACCATTTAATTTAACAAAAATGTCTTCACCAGTTGTATGTGTCGGTAATATCTCACAAAATAACATGTCTTCATTTACCCTGTTACTGTCTTCATATCTAACATAACACAGCAAATTCGGCATATTTGTAATGTCTGTTGTTTCGTCAATTTGCAGTGAAAAATATGGACTCTTCTTTATTTTCTCGATTAACATGCGTTTGACATCTAACGCCATGTCTTTTACTCTTCGTGTTACCGTGTTGTTAGATAACGACACAACATCAAGCAGCTTTGCTTCTTTTTCTCCTAAAATTGAAGAAACCATATCTTTGGCAGCAGGTAGGATTAAGGATTCACCAATCGTATGTGGTTTAGCTTCTTGAGCAATTCTTAAACTTACTTTGTACGATGCTTCAACTGCTCGAGTGTTAAGAGATGAAAATGAGCTCATTGTGTTTTTGCTACCTTTAAGCTCACTTTCTTTATTTTTAAAATAAGCCACAGGTTTCCCTTTTAAATTATGGTGTTTTGTATTGAAATGCCTCATGAGAAGGGACGGTTTCATACTATGTTTGGATAATGTTTCCATACAAATAACACACTGTGGAGTAGGCTCATTTAAATCCCCAGTGTAAGTAAACCCAAAAGCTAAATAACTAGGGTCGTACTTTCGTCTGATCTCTTTTTTAATTACCTTAGCTGTACTTTTGGATGACTGAGTAGGCCTACTAGTCGGGGCTACATCACGTTCAGTAGGCGTGTCCGTACCTTCAGAACTACTGCCAACAGTTTTCATATCACTTTGAATAGTTTTAGACCCATAAGAACTGGTTGAAGGACCACCAACAGTGTTCAATTCACTCTCACTAATTTTGAAAACTTTAGGTTGAGAACTACTGGTTGAAGGACCAGGTTGACTTCGTTTTAAAAACTTATCCATATCAACAGCGTACCGTAAGCACAAAGGAAACTAACCTCAAACAAATACACAGTGAATCACACAGTGAATTCCACTAAACTGACACTGACAGAAATAGAGTAGCGACTGACTAGTGAGCGACTACAGAGGTCAATGAACTGTGGTGGGGAATCGCAGCGCTGACGAGCCGAGTGCCGAGCCATCCCGATCATTTCCGAATCCGTGCATGTACTGTACTCGTACTGCCTATCGCCTGATGACTGGGGGCATGAATTTTGAATCTCGCACATATTACTTGACTGCTACTGTTATAAGCCAGTAACTGTAATAGCTATCTAACAAATTAACTCGTCCTTGTTCTAATGTATTGTTTAACTAGATAGGCCTACAGTTGCCGGTGGTCAATTAATTGTTAATAGTGGCACACCGGTGCAAAAAATGGTGAAATTACTATGCCTACTCGTACGTCACTGCGTACCACCGCAGTCACCGTTGCGTACCACTAGTGGTACGCGTACCACAGGTTGGGAAACGCTGCCTTAGACCACAGTGATCACAGAAGATGATTCAAAATTGGCAGAGCATTGATTTTTCTTCAGATGGTTTTTAACTTATTGTGAAGAGATTAAACGGTCGATCACATAGTGGTTGGATCTGGCATTAGTAGTAGTTGAAGAAGTAAGGAACACGGCACTGATATCAAATTTCATTGGCTTAAGCCAAGTCATAATTTTGTATTTTTGTATTCTTTTAAATAAAAAGGAAAGCCATGCAATTTAATTATTTCAGATTAGACATGTCTTTGGCATATTCAATTATTACAGACATGATGATAATTCTTTGGATACTCAATTCACTTCTTATTCCTAAAACTTATAAAAGTTATTGAACCCTGTCGAAAAATAGATTTAACTATCTCTAATTGTAATATTAAAGAGAGGATAATGCTATTTGCTATACTACGACTTTGTGAGATTATTGAATATTTATCACACAAAAGAAAGATTCATTGGGATTTAAGGGCAGATTGTAATACAAAGTAAGCCTATGTCTGTGTCTCTTTATTATAAAACTATACAGAATAAGAGAAAACCTGATAAAGGAAGTGAACTATCCTGAAAATGGATACCTTTCTCTTAAGTAAATCATCAACTATTTTGTAGAATATAACTTAAAAGGATTTAGTTTCACGGTTCCTTAATAAATACCCATAATATTTGATTGAACATTAATAAGTCATTTTTAATATATTTTTTGTACGACTTACAGAGTCGACATTATAAGGTTGGAGTAATAGTTGAATAAACAAACACTGTCAACCACTATGGTTGTATATAAAAGTCCAGCTTTTTTCCACTACAGCTCCTGAGTAAAAACACATACTGTATCCTATGATTGTACACCAAAACTATGGTAGGACATAGCTATATGAGATGGAATTATGTTGGCACTACCTCATTCATTATTGTCATTTTGCTTAATCACTGCTAAGCTAACCAAAGTAAGATAGTTTAGTAAAAGGAGGCACTATTAAAGCTGTCTAGGCACTACATTTATTACTGAGTTATTGTATAGTGATGTTTGGTATTCAATCAGTATCCATCTCTAAAATCCCAAGCGATGTAGGAATCTAGACAATCTGCTGATTCAAAAGGCAACAGTTTCTGAATCAATCTCGAATCATCAACATAGTTTAGAGTCTAGCCTGTAGATATCAGTCAATTACAGAGGGCAATTATTCCTCCAAAAAAGGGACCTGAATGGATCTCTAAGCTTATATCTTTCTACACTTAAAAAAGTTAGTATTCAGGCTGATAAAGGAAGAATTAATGTGCAAGGGAAAGTGCAAAATAATGGAATGGGATAGCAAAATAAGTTTTTATAAGTTTTTTTTTACACTATAGTAATTTATTTTTATTTTTTAATAATCATAGCCACTCAATGCTATGTGTTTTTACCCTTGGCAGACATTAATTTTATCCATGGTAAATCCTGTTAAGAAGACCAACGCCTAAAGTAACGTTTCCACTCTTTAAAATTTAACATCAGGAAGCAAATTGCTACACAACACATTTCTTGAGGCTCAAAGGAACCAAAACCGTGACGAAAGATGAGCCGTCCTTGTTTTCTAGGACAGTGTTCAAGCCACAGTAGTACCACCTACAAAACAATAGTTGCAAGTTAAAAAGGTACATGTGAGAAATGTCTGTTTGCCCTGGGGGTGCTACTAATATTAGTAGCAGAGGGTAACACCTTTGTTTGAACCTGAAAATAAGGCAAGCTAGTTGCACTAAATCAAGAGCAGCTAGTGCACTACATACATTGCACTGTGGTTGTAGTACATAGTGCAGTTGTCAGCACTTGGCAAGCAAGCGAACTGAGAACTCCAAGCTAGATAAAATAGTCAAGCCTCAGGTTCAACCGTAGATAAAAAATCCACAGCCTTTAACTGGTCTTTGACATTTCTCTTGGTCATGTGGATGATTGAAAGCATCAATCATCAAGGCCAAGAGTCAAGGTGGTTAACACTGTTAACAAGAAAGAATAAATCTTCCACAGTCCTGATAAGACATTTCCAATCTCTTACAAAGCTCCCGCAGTGACAAACATATGGGGGGGATCTGAATGCTGTCAGGGAGTAAGCATACCTTAACCTCGCCAATGTTTACGCGCAGTGCAATTTACCAGTGTTACAGTAAAACTCCTGCTACAAACATTTGAGCATGTTAAGCACATGCTAAAACCGTCAAACCCCTCAACAACGCTTATTTCAAGGTGTGTCACTAGCCTAATGGTTAAAATCTCTGACTTTGATGAGAGAGGAACGGTTTTAATCCTCGATATATCCACAAAAGATATATCCACTCGATATATCCATGCTGAAAAATTTCAGCATGTTGATTTTCCAATTTCTACTATGTCTGTTGTTCTGCACCTATCTCTATATCCACTCTCTCACAGGGATTTCAACTAATCCACTTGCAAAAAATTTGTAACATTTTAAGTAAAAGAGATGCTCCCAACTCTGTCTGCTCTATCCGTGGAACATGGAAGTAGGGAATAAATTAAACGAATAACAAATACGCCACCGAAGAGGTTTTAAACGAAGTATTGTAAGAAGCTATCCCAAATGATTAAACAATATCTCACCCCTACTTTTCTTCAATCATTTTCTGGTGATGATGAGGCACGATAGCCAAGAGGTAAAATATTCTGGCCTGAGCCAGGAAAACGAACTTGGGACACAAAAGCGGGAAACTCGATTCACACGTCCTACGATCCTGCAAAAACCATTATCGTCTACCGCGTTCAAGAAAATATCCGCATAGTCGCTTACATAATCGTGGCAAAATGTAAAATATATTTCACGATCAAGTAGCCATCGTTAGCGTTTCCCCTGGTGATGGAAACTCTTAATCATTTTCCGTGATTGCAACCAAATCATGAATAGATGGGCAAGTAGACATGATTAACATCTCCTGCAGTCATGGAAACTTGTCTTTGCGATCGTGACAAAATCTTGTACATCTTCCATGGTTCGTCATCATCATCTCCCACAGTCAAGGACAACGTAATCTTTTTCTGCGATTGCAGCAAAATATTGAATATCTTCCTTGGTCTTGTAGACATCATTTTCGTCCACGGTCTCGGAAAATCATAGGCCTAATGTCCTTCACAATCGCAGCGAAAGCTTGAATTTTTCTATTGAGAAATCTTTCCAGACACGTTCTGCTATCGCAAAGTTATGCTTGTCACAACTTGGCCTTCTTAATATTTCATTCAATGATGAATCATTCTAGGGTTCTATTTCCCCTAAAAGTGAGCAACCAAAACATTTGCATTATGAATGACTTCTTTAATACCTCCTATAGTACAATATTTTTATTTAAAGTTAGTATATGAGAAATCTTGTTAGTATTGTATTCTAGTAAGCTAGTATTGTAGTATTGTAATATCTAGGATACTGGTCTGATCTTAAAAACCAGTTGCTTTTTAAAGGTTGAAAACTAGATAGATATCCGTTTTTTTTTAATTGACCATTGAGCTTTCAACAAAAGGCGAAGATGAGTGTTAAATGGAATTGGAATAGATGATTACTTTTTTGATGACTTCGACCAGCTGCTTTTTTAGCCAGGCTCCAATGATTAAGAAATGGATCCAATTTAAAACCATTCAAAACCTACCGACTATTCTTAGGGTCAAACTAGCGACCATCTAATTACCAGGCAAGCAGATACCTAGCTAATGAACCTTTCTTCACCTACTCACAGAGTAATTTTGTCAGACTTAATAAATCGGTGACAGAGCTTACCTGTTGCCGTGCAGGTCAGCGACTGAAATGGTGTCGATGTAAACTTTGTCCCCGACTGCAGTCTCTGGGGCATCCGGGTTCTGGAACTCCAAGGACCTGTAGCTGAGGTGGGCTTGCAGCACAGGAGTCTCACTGGGGGAAATGGTGTTGTACTTGGCAGCAGCTACACTGTGTAGCTCCAACCCTCCTTGGATAGCGTCCTTCAACCTAAACAATAAAGATCACTTAGCATTTCAGTTTATATCTGAGGACTGGGTTAGCAAAAGAATCTTGAAGTCATGGTCTGGGCTAGACCTTGATTGTTGGGGGCATGGATTCTTTAATTCTGCCGCTAACTTACCAGTGGTGAGGGGGGTATGGAATATATGAAATGATGCCATTTCCAATTAATAAAGTGTCATTTGAGATAGCTAAATAACCAAGAAAGATTGTGTGTGGTAGTAAATCAAGTACAATAATAAAAGTAAATAATTTATTATTTTTAATGTAGGCTAATTGGTAATTATCTTTTTAAACAAAAAATCATACGAACATTTTGAGGATAAATTAAATTTACGAAATCCTATTTCATTCGCAGCACCAAAACAAACAATGAAACTACTGACTATTGGATACTGAAGTTGTATCAATAGTCAAAGATGAAACATAATTACAATTTATTGATTTAAAACCCTCTGAGGTCGAATTTTGTCCCCATTTTTCGCAGAGTATAGTTTGCCATTAGAGCAGTCGGGAAAATGGCGCCCGGTTACCTATACTCGCCATTCAACTGCAAACATTAACTATTTTGATTTTTTGAATTTTTTTTTGTATAGGTTTCTATTTTTGAGCAGCCGGGAAAATGGCGGGCGGCGACCTATACTCGCCATTCGACCGCAAAGGGTTCCTATCCTATGTTTGTGCTCCAATATAAACATAAAGACAATGAAGCAGTGAAGAATGACTAAGTCATTGACACAGTGACACGGGACGGGATGACCGGCAATCGGGAAATGCTGTAACAACCACAGTGCATTATTATCAGCCAGATGGCACTGCATTTCCCAAAACAGCTTGAATTTGCAAAGTGTGATACAGGGCTGGAACAGTTTTAGCGAATTTCCCTATAGGAAAGTAGCTATTACCGTAGGTCTCATGGTAAGACTTAAGCCCGGGACCGATTTACTTTTTCATTTTGATGTCCCCAGAGTCCAAAAACACCATTCGTTCAAATTTTTATATATGTATATATATATATATATATATATATATAGACTTATATATATATATATATATATATACGTCCGTGAACGCGATAACTTGAGTAATTTTTGTCCGATTTTGATGAAATTTGGTTTAAAGGTGTAAAGCTGAATAAACTTGAATGAGTTCGCGAACCAGCATGATCGGACCATGGGAACGGGGCTTTACGGGGGGTTTTATGGGGTAAAAATTGGTTTTTCTCACTTTTGACCCTCAAAACACAAAATTTCCCAATTTCTCTTTAGACCTTTTTAAAGAGCTTAAAAAAACAATTAATTTAGTATATAAAAGTATTTTTGTTCTGTTAATAGTAACGGAGAAAATTAAAAAAATTTTAAATTTAAAATTCCCATGTTATTCTTATGGAGAATATTGTCAAATGTTGTAGTTTGCTTGTTTATGGATATATTTTGTATTTTGATCAAATTTATTTATTTTGTACTAAGCTATCAATATTTTACAAAAACACACTTTATTAGTTTCCTTGTAGCAGCAAACCTAGGTACTCGTTAAACCTAATGTTATTAATATATTTAATTGAAAATCAATTAAGACAAATGGAAATTCGCTTAGTCGGCAGGTTTGCTGCGGCGGGGGTATTTCATTCTACTCTCTTAACCAGAAATAGTTATTTGTGCAACTAGTGAGAAAAGTGAGCAATTGACTCACTCGAGAGAAATCCTTACTCACGAGCCGTAGGCGAGTGAGGAATGGTTTCTCGAGTGAGGCAATTGTACTTTGAACTTGAGTTGCACATTATACTTTTCCTACAGTTACCATAAAACAAATAAATTGGTGAAGAAACATAACCTATTTTTACACAGAAGTGAACTTTTAATATAACATTGTATTGTATGTGAAGTGACAAATACAACAGTACATCAGCTGACCAGCTAATTTACAGCCAGTGCTGCCAACGTATTTCGCGCGCATACGACGTTGCCTGCATGTTACGCGCTCACTATTTCGTGCCTTCACGTTGAAAATCTGGAGTGAGACAAAGTAATTAGAGTGATGAGCGAATTGGCCACTTTGCTTTGTCAAATCAGTGAGAGAACATGTACATTGTTAGGTAACTGTAGGAAAACAATATATGTTCAATACCATAGATCACATTATGTATACAATTTAACTACCTATCCTTTATATTTTTACGCTGAATTTTATTTTATATATTTATTTAATATTCTACAATTAGATAAAATAAATATTTTCCTACAGTTACCTAAAAATGTACATGTTCTCTCACTGATTTGAGAAAGCGAAGTGGCCAATTCGCTCATCTCACTCTAATTACTTTGTCTCACTCCAGATTTGCAACGTGAAGGCACGAAATAGTGAGCGCGTAACATGCAGACAAGGTCGTATGCATGCGAAATACGTTGGCAGCATTAGCTGTAAATCAGATGGTTAGCTGTTGTACTGTTGTATCATTAAATGTCATATTAAAAGTTCACTTATGTGTAAAAATATGTCACGTTTCTTCACCAATTTATTTGTTTTATGGTAACTGTAGGAAAAATATAATGTGCAACTCGAGTGCAAAGTGCAATTGCCTCACTCGAGAAACCATTCCTCACTGGCCTACGGCTCGTGAGTAAGTATTTCTCTCGAGTGAGTCAATTGCTCCCTTTGCTCACTAGTTGCACAAATAACTATTGTCTAAGTCTTTGGGGCAACATTGTCCCCTACATGTCCCTTTCCAATAACTCTATTGTTAAAATATCCATGGATGCTTAAACAATTCTGGAGTGGTACTGCAATCTTAGAAGTATTTTAAAGCCAATAACAATAATAATTACATATGAATATAGGAATCGTTAGGTTCCTGATGAATGTGGGTATATTAGCTACATTTACATTCATCAATAATATTAATCCCCTCACCCAGCTTTGAATGGATGAGCTTTATGGAGTAATGGGGAGAATCAAGAATTATTTCACCCTGGATCTTTCGACAAATGACAAATGACAATTCTTTATTGCACATAACATCTGTTACAATTATTACAAACATAATACACAGACAGGTACATTGTCAAGGTTTCTAACAAATCAAGAATTCTAAATAAAAAAAACTAAAGATTTAGCCAGTAAGGTACAAAAGCTACAGCATGGTGGAACTGTTTGTTAGGTGAGGTAGATAAGAGAATGGGTGTCTGTTGCCAAGAGACGTTGAAAAATTCCTCAAGAGTGTAGTGCAATATGCTTTTTCTGCTAAAACCGTTATGATTTTGTGTGTAAATTTTGCTATGTTTAATTGCTTTTGGAATCTTATTGTAAGTTTTTAACCCCATATACAGAGGACTTATAAATTTTTTTTAATTATGAGTGGGGTATTGAAAAATGTCTTGTCTTCGGGTATTATAATGTTTTAATACTTTTCAATGAAATGGCGACCATACAAAGTAGGTATTTTAAGCCAAGTATGAATGGAGATGAGTGTAGGATGAGTGGCGCGATCTTGTAGTCTTGTTAGTGACTAAGGCAACATATTCCTTAGACACAGCTGTTAATTAATAATATGAGTGATTACTAAGATAATTTTGAAACATACCAGGATTTCCATGAACCATTTTTTAAATTTCAAAAACGTATATTTAAGTCAGAGTTAAAGTTTTAAAATTTCGAAACAATTGTCTACATGATGTTGTTTTGGTGTTATTTGCAAGAGTTCTGATTATTGACTTTTGTTTTTATTAAACTTTGTGGAAATGTGGCTGTCCGCCATAACATAATACCATAGCTTAAAATAGAGTACACATAAGCATAATTATAGCTATTTACATTACAAGTCGAGGCATATAGTTCCAAAAGCAGGTATGTCCAATTTTTGTCAAAATTGAGGTGGCAGCTGTTTATAATACATTGGAAACAGATCTACAAGCCTGTCCAAATGGTTAGTGGCGAAAAAATATATATCCAGACCTTTTTTTGGTATTTACTCAGGGGAGGTATAGAAGAGGCTACGATGACAGCTGAGGGCTTCTTATTAGCTGAGGGAACGCCATTACCGTAACAAAACGGTCGATAGCCATCGGCTTCGGTGGTCTAATGGTTAGCGTGCCGGGTTGATATACTGCAGGTCCCGGGTTCGAATCCCGCCGGTGGCATTAACTTTTTGTCCAAGATTTTTTTATTTTCAGCAAGTTTGGTTGGTTTGGTTTGGTTATTACAGTTTAATTTCATTATTAAGTCATTATAAAATTTTAATTGAGCAATTTCTAGTTTTATTTCATAAACAGAATTATTTTTCCGATTACTATAAACTTTTGTTATATTATTTCTTTATCAGCAAGTTTGGTTAGTTCGGTTAGGTTATGATAGTTTAATTTTGTAATTAAAAATTAATAAAATTGAATTTTAGGTATTTATAATTTTATTTTATGAACAGAACTATTTTTGCGATTAGTAAACCTTCATTGCCAAAGTGCTCTCTACTACAGCGCTGTTCACGGAGGAATTTTGAACTAAATGCCTCATTTGTACCTCCCCTCAGAAAGTCAGACCCCCTTTTTTTCTGTTGAAAACTGCTGTTAGAATCAAATAAAGGTAAATCCATTGACAGTTCAAACCAACAACAGGTATCTCCATTGTAGCCAATCAGAATACAGCTCCTCCCAACAGCTGTTACAGTGAGCTGTTTGCTGCTGTCTGAAATTGATAATACTTATGGTTCCTTCATATCTGTAATGTGTACTTTTTAATATGCAGAACTTATTAACATTTTTAGTAACAGCCTATGTACACATACTAGAACGATTTATATTTAAATTATAGAAGTTAAATTCCACTGTCACTATTGCGGTAGCTGCCCACTCTTGAATCTATAGGACTAATACATTCATGTTAGAAAGTTTATCCTTTGATTATTGATAGATTTAGACATTTCATCCACATTTTAAATGTGTCACCAGTTTTAAAATCGAAATTGACATAATGAATTAAGCCACCAACAGATTGTGCTGATGTAAATTGCTGAATTCTGTCGAATTTGTGAACTTTTTAGGTTTTTGAGTCCAGCTGATACGATTACTTGTAAACATTAGCATAGTTTATGTATGTACTATTGCTGCAAAAAATAAGGTAGAAAATATAATTCTAGACATCAGCACAATCTGTGAATAGGTTCACAGGGCTGTTTTATTTTTTAATAAAAATTGTGCGGCAGCTGGTCCTACTTCAGTTTCCAACAGTTAATGATTTAACATAGCCAATTTCAACCATACATATCCTAGGCTAGATCAATAATTCTGATTGTAATGTAACAATATGTTATAGGCAATATTATGATTTAACACCCAACCCATAAGTTTGGAATTTTGCCGTAAATTAATTTACAAAATAAATCTTTACAGTATACATTTACAGTTCTCCCTACAGCAAATCACTAGAAAATCCATCATTTAGCCTACTAATACTACGCCAGGTACTAATGATAATGTTTCCAAATAATTTAAATGCTTTATTTTGATTCACCAAACCAAAGTTGGCATGATAATCCAGTGACCATCTCAAAAGTAACTTTCATGACCAAGTAAATCCTCTTAATTAAGTTCCAAAAACAAGTAAATCCATTTTTTATTTCCAAATCCAGGTATCTCCAATTTCAAAGTATTTTATTGCAAAATCTGATGTGGAAACACCCATATAATATTATTTTATGATAAACAATGATTTTTTTACTATTTTTTAAGGTTAAAGGACGTATATTGTTTGCTGGCAAGTATGTGACATAGTTTTAGGCTTCTCCTAGAAAATTTGGTTCGGGTGACTTACCTGCTTTTGGTTCTACATGCCTCAGTGTAATAAGAGCGTTTTTACATCACGCAGGTGAATGTTGTGCAACGAGCATAAGCGAGTTGCATAATTCACCTAAGAGATGTAAACACGCTCTTGCGCAACGTGTAACGTACAAGATTTTACCTGACCCGACAATATACATGGGCTTACGTACAATATTTTTCATTATCCATTTCACTCATCGTCTAACAGTAACGTTCTTTTACAAACAAAAGCTAGGTTAGGAAAATACTTTATAGCATTAACAATAACATTCAAGCGCACAGCTGATTTCTAGCGTTGAACGTCGATACCTCCATAGAGGTATATTTTTTTAAGTTAAGCACTCAATGTTATTTAAATGGGTTTCATTACATCACCGAGTGAGTTTTTTTCAACTTTACATCACTCGAGAAGTAAGGAAGTTGTATACATCACGCTTGGGATAGGGAAGTTTAACATGGCGGGTTAGGTAAACATTTTTACATACTTCCAAGGAGGTAACCTGAATTAAAACACTTAAAGCATATCTTGTTGGACTAAGTTTTTTGTTTAGAAAATTAATATGCTCTGTCCATTGTAGTTTACTATCCAAATATATTCCTAAAAACTTTACTACATCTGTGGGCGAGGCATTAGTTTCTGTTTCAGTGGTTGAATTTCTCAATTTGAAAATTAAAACATTAGTTTTATCTTCATTCAAAAGTAAGCCATTTTTAAAAGACCAATTTGCTATTTCTTCAATTGTTTCTTTGACATCATCATGTAACATTTTAACAGTATCTCGTCTCATCAGACTGTTGTATCATCTGCATAAAGGGTAAAGCTACAGATTTCACTTGAAAAATGAAAAGATAAATCATTAATATATATGTGAGGAATAGGAGAGGACCTAGGATTGAGCCTCGCGGAACTCCATAGTTATTATTTGCCTAAGAAGAGTATTTGTTCCCAGAGACGGTTTTAATTACTGTTCTGTGTTTTCTAACGCTTAAGTAAGATTTCAAAAGTTCAATTATTTGTCCATGAAAACCGATTTCTGTAAGTTTTTGAATAAGAATAAAGAAAACTATAAAAAAAAAATTTAAAAAAAGATAAAAGAACCAATGAACCTGGAACCATAGTTTTTTTTTCCTAGGCCGCTAGTCACGAGCCTGGGATTGTTTTTCACATTACTTCAGTCTAGACATAGGGGTTGCGGCATTATCACTTAGATAAAATCCGTAGTAACGTAGTCCCAGTACTAATCTCCAAATGTGATTGAAAAAGTTACCAAGAATGGAACTATGATCATACTATGAAGCTTTTACAAAAGACATAATCGTAATATATGCATATAGATTTATAACATTTTATATTTGTATTGGCAACAGTGATGTAACGGATGATTCAGTTAAATACATTAATACCGTTGGTTGAGCATTAAACCAATCACCGATAGCGTCCTATCCCTCACCTGTCCGTTATGATCCTTCTCTTCTGCCTCAGTTGCCCGCCACCTTGTTCATGTCTGGTCAAATTCACAATTCAAGGTCTACAATATTATCAATTTTGTTTGCATTAGTAACCCAAACCAAACAGTTCCAAACATCAGAGATAGTTTAACAGTTTATGTACTCACTCACAGTACAGCTCAAAAGCTGTGTTCTCATTTCCATGTCTGACAGATAACTGGAAGTATCCTCTCATTGCAGAGGTCCTCTGTGAGACCTTCACTGTAGCGTGGAGTTGCTCCCCTGGAAAAGCAATCATTATTGATGTATTACTTGAATACCGTACCGTTCAGCCGTTCCAATAAATTATTATTATTTTGTCATAGTTCACTTTTGTGTTTGTGATGCTTTTTAACCGACTTCCCCACTACCAACAAAATGAGGAGGTTCTCAATTTGTTTGTGGCGATGTTTTTTTTTTCTATGTATGTTCACCAATTTCTCTGTGATTCTTTTACCGATCAGTGTGGTTCCACCACCAAAATAACCAGGAGAGCTTCTATTTGGTACCTTATATATTATGTTTAAGTATAATATTTGTTTCGGTGAAAAATTCTGAAAACCTTAAATATTCAACATTCATTTTGTTTACATTTGTGCAGATTGTTTACATTTGAGCAGAGAAGGCAATAAATAATAATAACATTCCTACAGCTGTTAGTTAAAACCATTTAAATGAAGCTACAGACAGTTTCTTCATGAAACAGTTGCTTCATATGGATTATTAAACTATTTCTTGCCATGGAGACTAAATAAGTTACATTGAAAAAATGCATTTTGTTTTGGTGACTATAAAAAAGGTATTTCAACGTTTGACCTGATTTGTGTATGATTCTGTTTTGAGTATTGAATGTTCTGACTTATAAAAACATAGTGAATAGCTGTATGATATTGACAATTTAAGGTGTATTGTGAAAACCAAAGCATTCGTAAAAGAGGTCTAAACATAAATTAGATGCAATTATTCCTTAAACGACATAAGAGGTGTGAGATTGCATAATCGTCAATCGTCTTAAAAGTGTTAAATATTTTTATTACTAAACATGCATTTGAAGACGTGGAGTGTTTATTAATATTCTTCACTGTCTATAATATTATGCCTGCTTCGGAAATGGGAAGCTGATTTGCAATTTCAACTACATCTTGAGCAAACAAAACCACCTACCCCTTACACCACTTTTAGCTGAACCAATCTTTCATACACGTATTTTTCAAAGGTAATATACGTGATAACAACCAATTTTCTACTTTTAAGAGATTTTTTAGTGCTGGTGGCTGAGGAATAACTTTCTTATTGTTCCAAAAGGCTTGAGACATTACTGTATTTCGTTTTATAATGTAGAAGTACACCAATTGCAGGAAACGATGTCTGGCATTTCAATGTCTCTAAGAAAGACATTCTTTTTTTTTTCATTAGGCCTAATGTAATGGACAAATCTTTGTTTTTTTTTAAAGGAAAATCCAAAAATTTTAATTTTTATACCCATTGATTATGTAAACTGAACAGGTGACTCAAGCAGTTTAAAAATAATGATTGTTCTGTGGCACTTTTGATTGTTTCAAGCAGTTTTGCTTATCAAAAAACTTCAAGTAATTAATATATAACAAATTATACAGTCACTAAAAATCATGAAATAATTTATTTTTGTAAAAAAATACGACCGACTTCAAAATGCTCTAAAAAGAATGAAATAACTTCAATAAAGTAAACTTTTGTATTAGGCAAGCTCACGTATTTTAAGTCGGCGCGGCTCTATGATGATTTTTGATACAAAATTGAAAGAGTGTGTCCATATTGCAGGTGACTATCTATAACTAAAGGTGTTAATCTGCATGTCTTTTTCATAGTTATGCGTTAAGTGTTATTTTATTACCGTCATCAGAGATCGGCATTATAGTGGTATTAACGAGTATCTTTAAAAAGATTATAACGCATTTAAATGTTTCTAACTTGGAAAAGTAACGTGTTAATACTAAACTAGCTTCTTTTCCCTATCATAATATCAAACTAAATTATTTTTCTATTCATATAGAACATTTGTGTGTGTTATTTTCATAATGCATTTATTCTGAAGTAAACATAAAATACAAGAAAATATTTCCTTTAATATATAAACAAAACAGTTCAGTATGTTTTTTATATATTTATGTTATCCAGCTACAATTGATTGATTTTCAAAATACACACACAATATTTAATTTCAATCATATTTGCATTAGTTTCAATGTTGTCACTATCACATATCTTCAGAGCTCGGTTAGCTAAGGTGTTCAGAACTGCTGATTTCTGCATAGGATGGTGATGGGATTCTGAGTGTAGGTAGCAGTCTGTGTGAGTCTTTTTCCTGTACACCGTATGGCCCAGGTTTCTTAATAACCAGTACATCTAAGAAGGGTAGACATCCATTTTCTTCAGTTTCCATAGTGAATTGTATTTTGGGGTTGATAGAATTAAGGTGCTGTACGAAGGTGTCTAATGAATCTGGTCCATGCGGCCATATTGCAAAAGTGTGGTCAACGTATCTCAGAAAGACTGTGGGTTTTAATTTTGCTGAACTTATGGCTTTCTCTTCAAAATTTTTCATGAACAAATTTGCGATCACAGGAGAGAGTGGCGATAAAAAGACCCGAAGATCGTTTTTCTTTGTCAGTAAAACATTTGTATTATATTTTTTGTTCAGCAGTGTATTATTTTATGTAGATAACATCACTATAACTTTATCTGTAAATTTCAAGACGCTGGAGAGGGAATAGCTGCATATGCCTGAATATTGAAACGTTTGACAATTGAATGTGACTTTAGGTGCGACAACTGTGAACATACAACAGCAAGTGACACATTCTTAAAGATGCAATTTGTGTGTATTTTAAAGCTTGATTTTAACCTAAAAAACTACAGGTTAGATGTAAACATACTGAGGGTAAAGCTTAACCAAACATAGTTTGGCAATTTCTTATCAATTGGTGGACTCCCTAAGTAAGTATGTTGTTTCGTTAATACCATAAATAAGAATAAAGTTTATTCATCATACAAACTATATTCATTGATAATTAAAAACTTACCACAGAATGGAGGGGAGTCTCTAGTGACAAGGAATAAAGGCCCTCGTGCCACTGTTTTGTCTGCTCGGTAGCCCATGATGCCACAACCTGGACCTGAAATCAAATGACAATGATTGGTTTTCTATTGATTAGCCTATCTTGTGCTAATCCAAATTGTACCAAGCTCTACTTTAAATAAAAATTAAATTTCTTTAAATATCCGATTATATATGCCTACACATATTGTCAAAATGGTACACATCTAACAAAATTATGTTGGCTTTTCCGTCTAGACAAAAATTATTTTAAACCGTCTAGAACAATACTCACACGAGTTGATAGTTATACATCAAGCGGGGTTTATGAAGAGTAGATCGACAACTGATCAAATATTTATCTTAAAAGAAATAGTAGCCAATTATTGGGAGTTCAATAAAGAATTTTATGCCTTATTTATTGACTTTCAGAAGGCTTACGACAACATAAGAAGGGACCCATGATAGTGTTGTCAGTACTGTCACATACTAGATTGAGTCTAATGAACCGTCAGCTCTTTAACAATAATGGTGCTTTATCCATACTGCCTATATGTGCCCCACCTTTTTTTATGGTAAAGGAGGGAAAATGCTTTCACACATATAGATGGCCAACCTGTTGTGTGTAACTCCTGAATTGATCAAACCGCCCACTGAAGAACCTCTCTTCCCTGTTGGTCTCATTTCCCCCATCTGTGCTTTTTTCACATCAAGCGTCACAGGTCAGGTCAACATAGGATCCAAGCCGTCAGGGCTCACACTGTTTCTGGCTATAACTATTTTTACAACCTAAACGGTTCAAGGACGATCTCCTAGGTTACAACTTACAAGGTCCATCTGTCCCCGCCCAGAAATAGTTGTGACCTGTCAGAAACTAAGTAATGTAATTATCACCTCTCTGTATTGCCAATTGACCCACAGTTGGAGTAACTGAATCAGTTGCCAGGGCCAAGTTCAGTGTCCTCATTTCTCTTGTTGCCAGCTATCCTGCCAGAGCCAGTAGGTACAGGTACTCTCTTCTCTTCTTGCCTGGCCCTCTCCCCCTACCCACCACTGAACTAATAAATTTCCATCCTCGCCACCGAAGGTTTGACAGGGATGACTCCAGTACCCACCCAGTAGGTTTGGACACTGTTCGTAAAGTGGTCTACCCCGAGGGTGAGAGGCGCATCCTGTATACCTCCTTGTTGAGCGTGTCTGTCCATTCTTCCGTACCATACAGCAGTAGGCCTATCTACGAATCACCATAGCGGCCTAGTAAACTGTACAGAAAGTCTGAATCCAGCCAGCTGAGCATGCTCTCCACCATGATCCAAAGGCACAAATGCTTAATCTGCTTCTTGGTCACAATCTCACAAATCACAAATCTTAAACACAATCTTGGTTTAGATTATATACATTTTTATGTACTTTAAGTTAATTTGATAACTTGAATGATGCTGATCTAAAAGTTATTAATACTGCGCTAACATTTACTTGCTGCTAACATTAGCCCTGTCTGATCGAGGCTATAACATGAGTTGTTCTATAAAGCTGGTGATGGCTTGTAATCTGAATGGCTAAAAAAAATAAACTTAATCAATTTTGGGTATTATTCAGTTGTATGGTTGGCTACCCTACCTGTAGTGTTGACATCACATCTGGTAGGGAAACACTCTGCATGTTGGAAAGCATCAGGGCCTCCTGGGCAGCGGAAGGCTGAGAACTGACAACCTTCTGTGGTAATACTCTCCAGGAACAGCTGATGAGCTCTGGCGTGATTGCAGACGACACTCGAGTTTACATGACCTTCTGTAATGCAAAACACATTGATTAGCGGGTGATTGTCATCATATTTCATTTCCATTCTGGGTTATCATTTTGATTTTTTCTTGCTGGTGAATATTAAACTTCATCTTATTTAATGTTTTGGATGTTTTGGATAGTTTAGTTAAGACTTTTTAAGTTTCTTGTTAACATTTTCCATTTTACCATACAGAATGAATGGATTATCAAAATATCTTGAAAAAGACTTTAGCTTTATTGCTGAAAGTAGTTTAAGGTCATGCATTATTGTCGCTTTCACGTTGCTCATAATTCACTTTAGGAGTAGAGCTTATGACAGGGATATTGTTGTAAATGTCTGCGTCTGTGGAACAATCTCCATAAAAATATGATCTCCAAATTCAGCTTATATGTGGTAATATAAATACTGTTTTCTGGGACAATATATTGGTTAAGTGCAATATATGTATATTGGTTGGCCCTGAATTTGCCTTTTGAAATTTAGGATTTTTTATTTCTTTTTAATTTTTATTGGCAACACTTACCAAAGTGGCTGACTATCAGTGAAGCTCTGACAAAAGCACAGCCCGGCTGGTTCTGGCCTCCGTTGGGGAAGTAGTCTACGTGTCCTAAAGGGCTATAGAGACCGAAGCCGTCAGGCCAAAGTTTAGCAGCGTCTGTGTGAATGATGTCCACAAAGCTGGCATCGTCTCGGTTAAGAGGAGGAAATGACGCTCCCGTCGATTGTCGAAACAACGGAGAGGCAGGGTCCAAACCTGGGCAACACTGACAACACAATCACTTGCATTACAGACTTAACAATCTACAGTAGAACACAGAGAAGTAAGATACAGAAGAAACTTGCTTATGGGATGATAAGGAAGAGCCCGAATGTTGAGCAATGTGCGGAAAGTTTTATTGCACAAGGGCTACACACAAGGGCTTTTATTGCATAGGGCTACTGTGAGCGTTATAGTACATGAAGGCTAGGAGGGCAGTGTTGGGCTTTGCTACCTACTTTTGCTAGACACCACTTAAGTGTACCATTGAATGTTTCCTATGTAGCATATGCTGTAATGCACAGTGCATACAATTAAGATATATTTGCAAAAAAGAATGCAGCTAGTACTTTTTATTCCACTTAATGGAAAAGTGTGTTAATTAAGAAGCAATAACTTGGTTGATTTAAAGAAAATGTTGCTTTTCTAGAATAATTTTACTTTACGTTTAAGTTTTTACGTTTTTTTTACGTTTACTTTTCATGAAGTTGGTCAGTTAGTATAGGCCTAGTTTAGTTTCAATTACATTTTGTGAAGTCAATTAGTAAACTAGGTAGCTGAAAGATTATTTGAATAGTTGTCGATAGAACTACTTTTTTATTTTGTGATTCAGGACAGTAAGGATCAAGGATGGAACAAACCAATTCCACAACTATAGTTTGGTCGCTTAGAAAGCAAGCTCCTCTAGCATTGGTTAGCATTAGCGCGCAAGTCGCTTTCTAAACGACCGAACTATAACTAATTTTGAATTTAGTTTGTGACCATTCAAGCTCAACGTAATTTTACACTATATATTGAATAAAGAATGTTTTGACTTTGACTTTGAACTGGATAGGGTGAATAGAAACCTTTACCTCAAGAACAAAGGCAATAAAAATAGGTAATTACTACAATTCAAGTTTTTGAAGCTAGATAACAGAAAAAATATAGCTACTATACTACAAAGACAGGACTTAAAACTGATTTATCATCAATGTCTTGAGTAAACTTTCCCAGCCTGCAAAATTAGTCTATAGTCTATCCGCTTCCTTCCCCCGTGGTTGTACTATTGAACTTAGGCATGTTTAAATATTATCTACTTATCAAAAGAGTTGTCGGAAGTATCCTTCTCAGATCCTTACACCACACTGAGCTCTTGGCTGTGTCTTTCAGGTTATCCCATCCACATTGGGTGTTTTCTTTAATATAGACTAATCTAGTGCTGAGAGGAAAAGCGTTACAATTATAACATCATACAAAAGCATAAACTTAACATTATGCAAATAAATACCAGAAATCCTTCCGATGTGTATTCCCCGTTGTTGCACGGCACGTCCTGCAAACCCAGCTACATGAGCTCCCAGACTGAACCCTATGATGTGTATAGACGCAGGGTCTGCTCCTAGAGACACAATGTCTGCCAGCAACAGGGCCAGCTGTCGACCAATCAGCTGTGTGTTGGCAGCAGCAATGGGGTATGATGGGCCTGCAGCACCTTTCTGCCAATCCACCATGATCACATTGCAATCCTCCTGAAACATTAGGTGAAAAACGTAACTAATCTGTAAAAGTGTAAAGGTGATGAAATATTTTAGGATTTCAAACAATCATGAACGTCATTTTGGCTTTTAAACTTTTGAGTCCATTCATGCATAGTACACTCACACCTAACTTTTCTCCACCCGCTCAGCAAGTTTTCTCATAAATTTCTCCTGCACTACTGTAACAGATAATGCTTCAAAATTTACTCTTGGTGGGTGGACAATAATGGTGGCTGTCTTACAAGGCTTTAGCATAACCCTTATCAATGGCTTCAGAGGTTGGCATAGCTGTATCCATTTTGGCTTTAACTGCTCATGCTCACTTAGTGTGCTTACTGAAGAAGGATTGAAGGTTGAAAGAACAGGCATTTTATGTCCTAAAGGTATCTTCAAAAAATGGAATAGGTTCTAGGTTGATATAGTAGTTAGAAGTCTAAACTGAAATATTTTGTCAATTTTTAGGTCCAACCACTCAGATCAATGACTTTATATTAAATTATACTTTTTTGGAAAGGGTCGCTAAGCCAGCTTAGAATTTAGAATGAAGAAAACATGGAATCGCTAAATTATCTTTCGAAGTAAAATAAATAGTCAATTTCAATCTATTAATATCCAAGCAGTCTTCTTTTCACAGTCATAACTCGATAACGGCTGGATGGATTTTAACGTTTGAGGTGTCAAATTAAAGGTATTTTCACTTAGATGTGCAAAGACGTCTCAGAATATTATGAAAGGGAATCACGCTTTGGCACGATGGCGCTATTGGTTGACATTGAATCAAACTCAATTCATTTTGTTTACAAATAAACATATGTACATAGTGGTGGTAGTTTGAAATAGTGGTTAACCAACCAAAGACATCAGGACTTTACTTCCAGAGCGGAGCCAGAATTTATATTTTTAATTTAACAGTTCGCTGCTACGGACGTTCCGGAACGTCAGCCAGGCCACGGCGCCAGGAGCTAGGAACGTTCCGAATTGTTGTTTAACAATGGATCAGCCATGGATCAGCCAGCTCGTCACGAGCGTCCTATATTTCTTTGCAGCTCGTGGGGATCGGCAGCAATGTTACGCAGCGGCAAGCGTTGGTTCAGCTCCTGGCGCCGTCCCGGCATCTAGCGCTCAGCAGCGAACAAGTTAACATCTGCTTACTAAGTCTGGTAAAGTGGTAAATAAATAAAGATTTTCAAACTAGACTTGGCAACTAATTGTTTGTAATAGTTTTATTGATTTACCTTGTATCATATTTTACCAAATTATCATGTAGTTTTGGTTACAGTTAGGTATGAGGAAGTGAATGTTTAAAAGTGCTTATTCACAGTGCAGTCACCTTACCTTACCATTTTATCATGTAATTTACAACGTGTATCAAAAACTTTTTGTGAAGTGTTGCTTTCTGTTATTTGGTTAACTTTCATATTTTATTTGAATTTAAAATCAAATGCCACCTATAAGACGAAGAACTGCGATTGGCCGGGAACATGAACGTGAACGCTTGCAACACCCTCCCAGATTGGCGGATGGAACAAGAGCAGCAGTAGACCTCGGGGGTGATAAATCCAACCTCCGACAAACGAACATTAAATGTTTACATTGTGGTGGCTTACATTTTAAGCAAGAAAAGACCACCTGAGACAGTTAAGTTTTTACTATTTGTTGCTATTAAGGAAAGATTTTATTATCTCATTTGCGGAATTCACCATACTTAAGGAACTTATTGGAAACTCCTAATCTAAAACAGGGCTGCGAGACTTACATCCAGAAATTATTTTGATAACATTTATCAATACAATTCCCCCTTTGCCATTCTTACCTCCAAAGCTCATTTAGATGAGAGGATCACAAATGGGATCTACAATATCAAAATATGACTCTTTTTACCACCGAGTAGGTTCTCTAATTCCTCTTAAATATGCACAGATTTACATATGTACGACATTGACACCGGAACCCAAGAGCGCATGAAACAAAATTCAAACAAAAATATATTGCAAATATCATGCGGGAAATAGGGCCACACCTTGAAAACACCATCACATTTGTCCAATCTTTTAAGACTGTGGCAAAAATTTGTAGGGACAAGAGCTCCGAGAAGCCAATTGAGATTCTTGCGTACATAATAAAAGACAAAGGTCAGAACAATGATGCTACCTGTACAGATGTCTCAGCTATTTCTAGAGGTGAAAACAGAAAACCACCTGACCTGAGGAATCTTTTTTTAATAATAATGATGTCATACGAGTATTCTATTTAGATCCGTCGTTAGATACACTTCCTTACCCTCTTCTGTTTCCAACCGAAGACTGACTTTGGTTGGGACTCCTTATAAAATGTACGTGTACATTGTTGTTTATGCTTTCCTTCTTTATTTTTTTACAAGCTGCAGGTTTGCTCGATTTTGAGCAACGGGTCATCTAGGAATAACTACCTGCAATAGTAACTAAACAATAAATACTCAATTTATTTAAATAGCTTCTATACATTACATTTAGTACACTATTTTATGAACTAGGCCTATCTAACAATTAGCGAATCAAGAATTAATTTACTTGCCATTTTCAAGAACATGGTGACATAGTTGCGTGCAGCTTTGTGTTTGGTGTTGCCTTTGAAGCCATGAGCCACAATCTTGGTGGGTTTACTAGCGTCGAAGGAAGAGTTGACGATTGATTGCCGCTTGTCACCGTACGTCAACTCCTCAGGCTCCATAGGAACGGCTGTGGTTCTGGTAAACAACAGAAACTTTGTATCCACATCATCAGGAGATTGAGGGTTCTTTTTGAGTGGAGATGTTGTCTTTGCTCTTGCAAAACAGCCGACTATGTCTGAAAAAAGGATTTACCAGTAAGTTTTCAGAACAGATGAAGTTTATATATTTTATTGATGCATACATTGTATAGTATATATCTTTTTTGACCATCCACTAAGAGTGATAAAAACCTTCAGATTATTGTACTTGGACCTTCTATATATTATTATCAAAAACATATAAAAAAATAACAAAAAGAATATCTTCTTGAAACTAGGTTCCAGTGTCTTTGGTAACTGGCTTTGTTCATAGAATGAAGTCTGAACAATATCCACCAGGCGAAGTTGTCACAGGGCAATCATTAACCACCTATGGTTCATAGTCCGACACTTAGCGGCACAGTTACATAACAATCAATGCTCCTTTTAACCTACTAGTTTCTAAAATTGGATATTTCACAATAGACAATAACCAAACAGTAAAACCACCCAACTGATCAGAAAATATTTCAAGAGTTTTCATTTAATGGTTCCTGTTTGATCATTTTTTACCTAAACACAGATTTTTATAGAGGTTGGCGGCCTTTTTAGCGAATTTCCCTATAGGGCAGTAGCTATTACCTACCGGTAAGACCTAGGCCCGGGACCGATTTACTTTTTCATTTTGATGTCCCCAGAGGCCAAAAACACCATTCGTTCAAATTTTTGTATATGTATATAGCCTATCTATATATAGATATATGTGTGTCCATCCGTACGATAACTTGAGTAATTTTTTTTCGATTTTGATAAAATTTGGTTTGAAGGTGTAAGGCGGGATAAACATGAATTAGTTCGTAAACCAGCATGATCGGACCATGGGAACGGGGTTTAACGGGGGGTTTTATGGGGTAAAAATGGGGTTTTCTCATTTTTTACCCTTAAAACTCACGACCTTTTTAAAGAGCTTAAAAAAAAAAACAAAAATAATTTAGTATTTTATCATAGTGTTTTTGTAAGATAATTGGTTACGGAGAAAATTTAAAAAATTGTTAATTAAAAATTCCTATGCTATTCTTATGGAGAATATAATATGTTGTAGTTGGCTTGTTATGGATAAATTTTTATTAAAATTGACGTTTTCATTTATTTCATACTAAGCTACTGATATTTTAATAAGAAACATTTTATTAGTTTCCCTGTAGCAGCTAACCTAGGTAAGTTTACTCGTTAAACATAAATGTTAATTTAATAGATTAATAATTAAAAATCAATCTAGGCAAATGGAAATTCGCTAAGTCGGCAGGTTTGCTGTAGCAGGGGTTAACCTTGCATTTGCCGGTATGCATAGGCTTAGGTCTTGTGTGTAAAATTTATTTAGAAATGCACCGGTGGGTAAAGCCGGTATAGTACTAGGGTGAATTGTACTGATAAAATTTAGTGGCAGGTACAGTACCATGATCTGAACCCCTGATATCGCTGCTTTGGGCCCTAAAGTCCTTGGCGTTACCTACTTACCTAAGATTTTTTTGAGATTGAGATAAACGATTCCTTTTTTTAGTATTGATAACCTTCAATTTCTATATGTTAAATAATGTTTTATACAATATTGTACACGTAGGCGTAAATAGGATGATCCTAAGGGAGGAGTTATACTGGTGGTGGGAGGGGGAAGTCGGAGAATATTTAGACATATAAAAGAGATTTATAGAAAAAAATTAATTGTAAAAAATCACTTTTTAAGGTCAAGGGGGGGGGGTTCAAACCCCTAACCCTCAGTCAGTGGCATATCCAAGGGGGGGATATGCCACTGACTGTACAAACCAATACTAATATAGCTCACTTTTATGTGGAACAGCATTTCGAACCTCCCTAGCGACTTGTAAGTATGCTATTTAAAATATTTAGAAAACTTCTTTAAAAAGATGTTCATAGTTCAATGTCCCATGTCCAGAGTCAAAGTTATTATCAGATGTCTCACCATAACATATTTCCTTCCGCGATCGTCTTCTTTCTTGAACCCATTCTTGTCTCCGATGTATCCTTTCAAGAATAATTGCTCCCATAGATGCTGCTCTTTTGCCAACATGAATACTTGGGTATTTTTCTGGAAGTGTTAGTTATTTTTATTTAACAATCAGACAGACATTGGAATAGGCCTACACTTTCCAGAGCAACCCTAGGATACAGTGGTATTTGTTTACAAACAAAGTTAGTCAAACGAATTGTCACTTTAGACTTACTGTATTAATTATAATTGATTATATTGTGCATATTTAAAAGCAACTCAATAGTAGCCTAAATAAACATTGCAGTAAAAATTCAACTTTAACACCATCACAGATAGAAGTTTTCAAAACACAAAATTTTGATGAAAAATGTAAATGATGCATACCTTTTAACAATCTATCAGGGCTGTTTTATGACCATGGTTAACTTAGCTAATGCAATATTTAATTGTCAACTTTAGTTCAATAAAATGATTTGAGTTCGTTAACCTTGTAATAATATACAGGAGAGCCAATATGTTTTTCTTTGGTTGTATGTACCTATAGAAAAATAAAGTATTCATAGATGTAACTTATCTATAAAAACAGATCAAGGACGCTGACATTCTCTTCTTAAAGATTGTGTTTTATGACCTAGAAAATATTGTTATATGATAATAAAATAACTATAAATCATACCTTCAATTTCTGTTTGAAGAGATGACGATAATGCTAATGCTGTGCTTGCAAATTGCCCGCCAGAGATGATTTTCAAACCTAACCCCAAAATAATTAAAACGGCTAAAGTAAACACAGCCATATCAGCTGATAGTCAGCTGTTCTGTTGCACAGTCGACAGAATAAGGTCTATGTCCTCTAGATCTCGCGTCCGCGTCCTTCTTCTACCTACTGACTCGTCCGTGCCTGCCTTATGCAACAGATTACATACTACTTTCTCTTTCTACTTAGACCAGTCTTAAAATTTCACTGCTAACACGGTAACACACATCTGCTCATAACAAAAGTGTGTGGTCCATCTTGTCCTTCGAGCGTCATTTAAGACTTTAAGAGAGAATGTCAAACAGACTCATTTTCTCCTTTTGTTGTTTCCAAGCTCAAACAATTGCCTAGTCTAGTGCTTGAGTGCTTGTGGATGACGTAAAGTTGGAGTTTACCGATATTATTACACCTCTGTCTTTGGACAGACATTTAATGTCTTTCAATTACAAAACCTGGTACACAGCCGATAAATCATGACATATATAAAAATATCGTAGACAGAATTTCTATCAGTTTTTCGACAAAAAATATTCAGCGTTATTTAAATATGAAATAAACTGACAATTATGAGGGAATATTTTAATAGTAATCAAGCGAGGTAAATGGAAGTGATTTTGTGTGGTTATTGGTTACGGAAAACATTTAAAAAATGTAAATTTAAAATTCTTATGTTATTCTTATGGATAATATTGTAAATTGTTGTATTGTGCTTGTTTATGGATATATTTTGATCAAACTTGGAAAATGTATTTATTTTATAATAAGCTATTGATATTTCACTACAAAACACACTTTATTAGCCTCCCTATACATGTAGCAGCAAAACTACTCTTTTAACCTAATGTTATTTAAATAGATTTAATAAACATCAATTCAGGAAAATGAAAATTTACTTAGTCTGCAGGTTTGCTGCAGTGGGGATATTTGTTATTCAGATTTTAACACATTTCACAACAAGAAGAATTAAGAAAATGTCCTTGAGACGGTTTGAGGATAAAAGGTTATTGGTTATTAGGGTAAAATTGTAAAACGATGACACTCACAGATTTTAATAAGTAATTCCCGTAACAAGGACGTCGTGTTTTCCCCTTCAAAATAGGTTCAATGTTTATTCCCTACAACACTTCAAAAATAATACAATAAACCATTTCCAATCTTTTACCGAAAAGTAATTGTATTACTGTATTTATGACTGTTTGGCCGATAAAATATTTTATTACTCTTCCTCGAGCAAGAATTTATAAACAGAAATAGGAAATAACACAAAATGCTCGTCTCAATATCTTATATTACGTATGCTGTATGTAAATATATTTTGTTAATACGGGGGTACCTACTTTGACAAGACTGATCAATCGTTTGGCCATTCAAGAGGAATAGGAACATGATCCAAATTTATAAAAACTAGCTGTTACCCTCGGGCTTCAACCCGTTTGACTTAATAAGAAATAAAAGTTATTCAACAAGATACAAAATTACCCTATATTAGAGAAGAAATAAAAAAACGAAGCGAAAAATATGAAAGAAAATTAGAAAGCCATCCAAATTTCCTGGCAGTTAACCTCCTCGATAATAGTGAAGCTACGTATTATATAGGGTCAGAAGAGTTAATCCGATAGACCTTCCAAATAGTTTTTAGTTAAACTTTTTATAAGTTTTTGTATGTTATTGCACTTGATGGAGTGTAACCAACCCATGTTAAAATTTTATGAAATTTACTTATTGTTCTAGTATAGAATAGATTGTAAATAAATACTTATTTAAAAAAAGTAACAATAAAACTATTGATTGGTTAAGTTAAGTTGAAATAAACAAAACAGAATACAGTACAGTAATGCAAACAAATAATCACACCTGATTTTAATAAAATAATATATTTAATAAATTGAAAGAATATCAAACAAATACAGTAAGTACAGTAGTACAGCTGAGGTATTTTTAACATTAGATATATTGAAAGTTCCCTTTAAAAAGGGATTAAGGGCAATTTGTGAAAAAATAGATATCGTTGCGCAGGTTTCTCGTCATTACGAACATTTTAAGTAGGCTATATGGTTTATGGGGGTGTGACTTGTAGTTTTCTCAAAAGTCCATGAGTACTTTTGATTTATATATGGATGTATATAGTATTTTGCTGGGATGCCATCCTAAAATGCCCTTATGTTTCCAATATTCATTTGTTTCGGTGTTCTGGTACAAAATAGAATTTTAATAGAATTTTTATTTAAGCATATAGAATTTTACACCTTTAACAAGAACACTTAAATAATATGATTACTGTATTAGCAAAATGTATTTTATCTTTTTCTTTTATCTGTATAGTTCAGTGAGATTAGAATTATGTATATTGTAACAGCTGTTTTACGTAAACTCGCTTCACTGAACTACCGTCAGCTGACTCGCCAACTGTGACTGCATTGTCTTGTAGTCGTACATAACTTCCAAGATGACTGCAACATCATCCAACATCTTGATAATACAGCATTTCACTCGGTGCGTAAGAGATAAGAGTGGGCGCATTGGGAAGTCCTCTTGCTAATAACTCTTCGACTTTCTAACGCCTTGTTTCTATAACAGAATGACGATACTCTATACTCAGAATACTGTAGGGTTATTTATTTCAGAAACACCTGATGATGTAAATATTGCCAGAATAATAAATCTAATCGATTGTGTTATTCAAACGCAAGTCAGTCAAATCAATACAAAACATGGGTTTGTACAGTTTTTTGATTGAATAACACACTCTCTGTTACACCTCATCTGAAAAAATCCACCATCGTATACCAAGGCAAAAATGCCCCAATGATCAGGATATTATATTGGCTTGTATATCTTACGAGATCTTACTAATATTATAAATCTGAATAGTACCATATATACAATACAACTTATAATCTATTTCACAAAGCTTCTAGCTTTGATTTTAGACCCGCCGTCAGTAATCAATTCTGATTCTAAACTTTTAGAAAACATGACAGACAAGTTTTCAAAACATTGGACTATACGTACAGTATTATATAAAATCATTATATAGTTCATTATATCAAATGTTCATATGTCCGAAACTCCTAGTAAGTGAAAGGATCACAGTGTTGTAAAATGAAGAAGCTCCCCTTTTGTCCTTACCGTTCAACTTCACTAGTCACATATTTTCAGTTAGTTTTTAATTATGATATACCGGTACGATGAATAGATTTAATAAACCAATACGATTTGTACCTACTTTTACAGAACATTAATTGATATTGTATTATTTTCTATCAGATACAACGTTTGTAATCATTTAGCTTTTTAATGTAAATCGTCGTGATCAAAGCATGACGGATTTGTGCTACGTATAGATATAAAAAAGCATGTTACTGATTTTAACATTTTTAGTGATATATCACAACCAACATGGCAACCCACAAGGCTGATGTTAAATTGCAAAATCTTAAATTCATAATTATAGTGAGATGAATAGATTTTTTTTGTAACCATAATACTTGTCTAGGACTTTTTTTGAAGCAGAAATTAGGTACTGTATACCGTATACCCATCACGTATGGAGGTAATCCTTGGTGCCGATTTGGAAACATAGCAAGCAGAAGTATACAAACTTTACTCAATGAGGTAAGAAGACAAGACAGGAGTATTATAGGATGGGATGGGGGAATTCGTATATTGTTCCATTATCACCTCTCAGTGTTAATACAATAAATTAGAACTTTTAAATTTGACTTCCGAAGCAGCATGGCTGGACGAAATGTATTCGTGTTCATATCTTATTACAGTATTACAGTTTAGTTTAGACTACGTTCTTCAATTCAAATCTGGCGCCAGATAATACCACCTGCGCCGTTTGTCGTCGTATTGGGAGCCACTTGTTGTTCAGTGTAGAAACAACGTGATTTTATATGTGATCGTAGTTAGATTATTTTTTTATTTTGAAATTAGTTTTTTTGTGTAATGAACAACCAACAAGTCAACGGGTGAGTTTAATTAAAAATATATGTAAGCCTGTATTAACTATTTTGTAATAATCCTGTTTTGCTAAAATATCCAGAACGTCAATACATCCTACTGCTTCCCGTTCCCTGTCTGGAAATTATGACTAACTTAACTACTTCGTCATTGGTAATATTGTTGTGAATAATCTGCTCGGAAGTAAACTTGACCCGCATTTACCTTACAAGAATTCCTTTGAATTAAGAAAAATTGTCTACAAAAACCAATCCTCCTAACTAAGGCTACTTTATCTTGATCCTTGTTTGACACTTAACCTCACTTTTTGCTCTTAAAAACAGTTACAGACAGATCCAAGGTTGTCAAATTTTAACCCATCCGATTATCATTTTTATTATAATTTAGTTGACCTTTCGCGAATTTACTTTAAAAGAAGCCTAGTGATGTCAGTGCTCAGTAGCCTAGTCAGGTCATAAATTAATTGGTCACCTAGGCCTAGTCAAAAGACTCACCCAAGAGTCTTTTACCACTTGCGATTCGCAAATATTATTCAAGTGCTATATTAGACCTAATTCTCGTCATTGGCTTTTACTGAATGATGTTAAAAGTAAGTCAAGACTTACATAACTTAATGTAGCCTAAATATGTTTAATGTTGCCCCTCTAACAGTCTCTTAAATGTTATTTTAAGTTAGGCTTAGGCCTGTAGCTTAGCATTAATTAAAAACATTGTCTTATGGATGCTTAAATCAATAATCGTAATTGAGTACAAAGGGTGAGATGAAATTGAGTTGGTCTCCTTGCATTCGAACACTGGATTAAGTTTTATCTCAAGTATAGTTTCTAGCCTAGGCTAGTCAAGTAGGCATATTTTAACCTAAATGACCAGAGCTCTGTGATCTGTTTAAAATTATCCTCCACGTAGAAATCTGTTGTAGTCAATAGTTGGTAAGGCTATCATCTAATCCATACTTACCCTATGTTCCTGAGTAGCCTAAGTTAACTTACTAAAGCGTCTGCACACTGCTATGACACACCTAACTTACCGTACCGCACAGTTCTTGACACACAGCTTTTAACTTTTCAGGGCTCTATGACTTTTTTTGTCAACTGTGTTATGAGGGTTGTAACTTAAACAAAGTTATCTTTAATTTCTTTGCTTCAAGACCAGTACAGTTGTTCACTGACTCATAGACAAGATCTGAA